ATATTGTAAACAATGATTAAAGTTACCTCCCCTATCTATACTATGCTATATAAAAGCAACTGTCGATTGTAATCCCCTATTATTTTTATTATTGTCGTTTTTATTAATGAAGTGTAAAGATTGTCATATGACTCTGTTTTACTATGAGTAATATTATGAAAATCTAAAATCCTGAAGTCAATAATGAGTAATGATGTGTATGTTTTAATAGGTACTAGCATGTTTTATCGAACAGAAGCGGTTTTTTACCATTTAACCACATCTTTGATATTAACAAAAGTAACAACTTGCATAATAGAATCGAATGCAATAAAAATATAGCAAAACTTGATGTAACTGACTAATATATAATTACTAAAAGTAGAAATGTTATTCAAAAATGATTACTCGTTACATGGTTGGTTGATTTTGACATTTGAAACTTCTATATAATAATAACGAACGATATTTTTCAAACCAAAATTTTTTGCTAATTGCTAAAATAAATTAGGTAGTAGATACTTAGTTTGATCGTAAATTTTGCTAGATAAGAGGATTAAATTTTATTATTTGGTGTGCTATTGCATAAATAAACTTATTTTTTGAGCAAAATATTTACCCTGAGGTGATTAAGTGTCCCGTCACTGTTACGCTCATGATACTCTTTCTAAACAATTAACATCCACCACCTAGCGGGGTTAGTTCTGCAGTTTACGATAAAGAACCGTTACTACTCCAGGTGAACTTGCTAAGTAGTTGTTACCTGCTTATTTTTTAACAAAAAAAAAGCAATTGTTTTCTATGACTTACCTCTAATTTTGTCCTTAAAATTTATCAAATACATGCAAGCACCTACAATTTTATTCTATATTCACCAATATTATTAATTTGTATCGAGGACGTTTCAGTAAACGAACTATTTTCAGTCTTTTTTAATTACTGAACAGCTGCTCGCCTTTTCCGGTTAAATCGCCGCATCAGTTCGTCACAAACTAAACATTCAACATCGCGAACATCTAAACGTGAACAACCAACAATACTAACGTAACACAAAGCATGCCCAACCAGGGACGTGACCTACAGACGTGACTGTTTTGTATTCAACATCAGACGAAGTCCGGAATCACGAATCACTGACGAGCAATTTTTTGACCGGAGTCTCGTCAACTCAATTTGTTTTAATTTTTTTCATTGACGTCAGATGTGTAGAGAGCACATGAATACTTGAGATAAATAATGTCAACAATCGACCAGTTATTACAAAGTGATAATAAATCCAATAAATATAGGGTAACAGTAAATTGCGCAGCTATATACATACATGTACTACTACGCACGCACTTATTGACAATTTGCTTCCAGTGGCGTAACACAGAGTTCGATAAACAAGGAGATAATAATGACTATTTATAAGATATTACTCTCTTGCAGGATCATTATAACTTTGTTAGCTACTAATAAGATTTATCGGGTGTAATTGTCTTTTGACAATCAATTTTTGAAATGTACGTTATTACTGCTTAGTTTTATTTATCATAATGGAAACTTGGTCATGTTAAAAAGTTCAATTGCATACATATATTTAATATTCATATGTGCAAACTTACTTTTTATAAATTGAATAGTCGTTTTAGATAGTTTCTTTATGACTAATTTGTTGATTGACCATTAGGGGGCTAGATTTTCGGGTAATACATTTTTCAAATTTTTGTTTTTCCCACTTCAAAAAAAAAGGTTCTCAACAACTATACTTTTTTTTCATTATTCTTTTTGATTTGATAGATTATGTCTAATGGTGCTCCCATTTTAATTAAAAAAAAAATATTCCATCTATAAGAGTAAAAAATGGGGGGATAATTACGCAATATCGTCATTTCTATGTAATGTTTTTCAATATCATGGTGGCCACAAAACTGAAAAACCTGGAAATGTCAGGGAATTTCCAATTTACTAGAAAAGTCAAGAGATTTCTCTCAAATCATGGGAAAAACTAAAACTTTTCAATTATCTTTATTTAACAACCTCACTTGAAATTTTAATTGAAAACTATTGGGTGAGTGGAGTTGACGCTGATAAACTACTCAGTCAATACAAGAGGTTATGCAGAGGATCGTTCTTTCTTAATTGTTTGTGGTTAGATAATATTATGGCTTCGCCAGATGATTTTAAAGAATTGACGAAATACATCAAAATTATTTTTACGTATTTTCACGGTAACTCATCTCTTGAACGTGGATTTTCCATCAACAAAGACTGCTTCATTCACTAATTGCACGAAGATTAATTTATGATAAATTAAGAAATGTTGGAATTAAAAATACTGAAATAACAAGTCTGATTCGGTCGTTTAAAAATGCAAAAAGCCGTTATGAAGAAAAAAAAAGAAAGAATTAGATAAACTTGATGCTAAGAATAAATATAAAATATATCAAGAAACAGCAATTGAAAAATCTTCTGGATAGAAAGAAAGCTCTAGTCGAAGCTAATCGTAGAGATAGTCAGGGAATTTTAAAATTAATTGTCTGGAAAAGTTAGGGAATTTAATTTCGAAAAGTGTGTGGTCACCGTAAATATATATTATAGACTACATCTCAAATGTGGTCCTATTTGAATGTTATTAACTTTTTATTTAATTAATAAAGAATCGATTCTTACACAAACATTCAGTATACGATTTATTGCAGGTACATCATAAAAGTAAAAAAATTAAAAACAAAATGGGTTTAAAACATCTCTTTTATAATACAATTTACAATAAAAGTGTACAAAATTATGGCACTTAGAATGTATTATGTACAAGTAACATTTAAATATATTTTCGCAATCCAGGCAAATGATTCTCTTATTGTGTAGTAGATGTCAAAAAGCGCGTATTTTTTTTGTTATCACAGTAAACTTCTCAGCTAACAACAACGTACCATTATTGATCATTCTCATTATTTATTACTTTTGGATTTACTACTTCTTTGCGAAAAAAATACGTAAATAGCCACAATACAACACACAACAAGGAAAGCGTAGTGGTAACGTAAAGTGGTACCTTATATGATTGATTAATATCATGAACCCATCCTAAAAAAAATAAAGTAATAGTTGTCAACAAGAATCAGAAGTCTCCAGTTAATGTTTCAAGATTCTTAAATATGTAAAAATAAATACAAGTACGCAGGCAACCCAATTGACACCATGCAGGCTCGCTTTAAGCACTATAACGGCACGGCATTTTTCTCTAATTGTAAATATTTCCCAAGCTTTTACTTTTTCACAAACATGATATGATATGAACAGTTTAAAATGTTACAATGGGGTCGCCGACAACGCATAAAACAGTAGCAATTGGTGCAGGTATCGGAAAAAACGTCTTGTATCTATCACTTTTAATCAAAGTAAATTAATTAAAATTTAGTAAAACAAACAAATAGGTTCTTATTTTCTTCGAATTTTTAGTATTTATTTTAGGCAAAAACCATCACTATGTTCAGTAGCATGTATTCATTATAATTATTATTAAATCTCTGTTTAAAATTTAATTTCGATCAATATGTTACGAACTAGTTTGAAAGTGTCGCATTCATAAAAGTCTGAAATTCTTTTATTTGAAGTATTGAGGTAGAAGTTTATATACAAACAAGTTGTTTAGTAAATAAAGAAGACTGTAAAATCAATTCTGCTTGCTGGAATATGCAAATTTTCTGAAATATTATTATTATGTTCTTTTTTTGAAAAAATGCAATTATTAAAATGCAAATTATGATGAATAATGACTAGCATATTGAATAATTAACTATCCTGCATCTCCAGGACTGTCAATGAGAATTATGGTTAATTGATTGTTACCTATAAATGGACCAATTATTAAGGATAAAAATCCGTTAATCATCATTTGTACTCCAAATGCAGTGGCCAGTTTTTCATATGGAACGTATTTTGGTAAAACTAATGACTGAAAAACTGCCTTTCCACCTTTTGATAAACCCCATAACGCACTACAAGCTAATACCACGTATCCAGTATCACAGAAAATTGCTAAAACTGCAACAAAAAAAAGTTGGTTAAAATTTCAAATAAAAATCGGGTCCTAATCGTTCTACAACATTTTCAAAATATTTTGTTTATGTGATATGTACATTCTATTTTGGGAAATCAGATAACAGGATGGAAATACAAGTAGGGATATAAATCAGAGGATAGGACAGAGTTTAGTCGCCTTCAATAAAAAGAAAAGTCACTTCTATGCTCGTGAACGGTTAATTCAGAAATTCTAAAAAAATTGTTAAAGTGTGAAACATGGACAGTGGGCGCAAGGGAAAAGAAAAAGAATGATGAGGATACCGTAGATAGAGAGGGTTAGAAATTAAGAGGTATTAGAAAAGATAGGGTAGCAGAGGACTATATGGAAGTCAATAATAGGTGAGATACGTTGGTAGGACGCCTCTTCAGGCATAAAGGTCTAGTCAGAGACATATTAAAGGCAGAAACAGGAGTTGATGTGAGATGTTCTAGTTTTAGTAACATGAGAGGATTAGCTCAGGTTAGAAAAGAGTGGGGATGCGTGTCCAACCAGTCTTGATTTTATCCCATTTTGATACTTACTAGTTCTTGCTATTGAAGATCCAATTAAAGTAATGGCATACATTAATCTTGGGTGCCATCCACTCTTATGGGAAAGAATTGGTAATGCCAGCCTTCCGAAGATGTCAAACGCTGATTGAATTGACATCACCATGGCGACATCTTTCCTCTCGAATTTAGCCATTTCGTATAATACAAATGGTACCATAAGTAAGAAGTTAAGTTCTGCCGCATAAGAGATTCCCATTCCCATCACCAAAGACACAAACTCTTTATCTTTAAATAATTCTAGATCGAATAAATCGGAAAGCTTTTTTAGCTTTTTTTTAACTTTTTTGGGATATTCAACATTGCCCCTCTCTTTCTTAAGATTACCATTTGCAACCCGTATTTCAGCTGCAGTTTCCTTATAAAATATATTATCAATATTATATACATAAAGGAGGTTTTTATCTTATAGATAAATGATATGGTAAAGTAATGATGATACTGCTAGATAATGAAAGGATAACTGCAGTTTGCTTATAAAATTCAGATATGTGTTAAGCATGAGAACCTATTTAGACATAGGTATACCCCCTTGGAGAAAATGAAAGAAAACTCAACGGGGAACTAGATTGAAGAAACTATCGAGCTGAATTGCGAATAATATAAGTAAAGGAACTTTATTTAAAGAAAAGTCAATTCATTAAAATTATGTACACTCTCGTGCTTGATAGGGAAACGGACAGTTGGTGTAAAATCGATCACAAAATTTGGTTATTAGAAGGGGTGCTTCGTTTGGAGCGAATATTTTTTTCTTTGCTGACATTATAACAGACAACTTGCGACACAAATATAAACATGAACGAATGAAGTTTTGATAAATTAAAAAATAAAAATTGTAATTTGCGTGTTATTCAAATGGGGAAAATTCAACAATCAAATGAAACTACTTAAAAGTGTAATTGAAAGCTCAAATTTTGTGAAAATTTGAAGTGTTCGCTCCAAATGAAATACCCTAATGTGAAATCTAGTACAATTTATAAAAAGTAATTAGGTATTTCTGTGTAAAAATGTACCTTTTCTACATCTAAAAGTATCTTAATACATAGCTTTATAAGGAAGTTCTGAAACCTTTCTTAGAAACAATTTTCAGAAATATATACATATGTATGTAAAATGCATTTATATTATGTATTATTTTTAAAACTTCCAAATGTTTTGTGAACTGAACTTCTTAAAACATATCCAAATATCATGTAACAAGTCATCAGCACAATTACATATTGAAATAGTCAAATTCCACCACCGACAAAATTAATAGAATGTGACTCGCATCCATTATCAAACATTTTAAATTGTTTATTATTTATTGCCCTCAACCCTTTCAGGCCATTCTTAAGAAAAAAATCTGTTACTAGAGACAACTTTTTTGTATAATGTCTGTATAATTGTCATGGTTGCTTACAGTGTTTTTTACTAAAGCTTCATCCTCTTGAACACTTTTGACTTCGTTTAATGGAAATTCCTTTCTGGTTTTCGGTATATTAGCAGGTCTAAGCAATAACACTCCAATAAAGGCGTGCATTGCCAACCCACTTAATAACAAAATTGTGCCAGAAGTGCCGTATATGTTGAGCAAATAGTTGCAAATTGTTGGTGCAAATATTGGTAATAAACCCACTCCTGTTATTGAGTAACTCATCGCAAGTGTAAGTCTTTTCTTGAAATATGAATTCATTGCGAGAGAAACAGAAGGCATAAGGATGCCCTGGCCTACTCCTAAAACGTAGAGTATTATACTTACATATATATACATATCATCAGAAATAAAATGAAAACTGACATTTTCGTTGAAAGATTCAATCGAAATTAAAAATTAAGAAAAACAGAAACATTATAATTTATGACACTGGCAACTTTATTTGTTGTCATCACCATAAGGTCGTCAGTCCTAAGACTGGCTGGACACGTACTTCCACGCGTTCCTATCCTGAGCTAATCTTCGCATTTCCCTAATACCAGAACAACCCACATCCTTAATTATTTGCGGAGTAATATAATCTATATCAACCTCTACCCCTCCTAACTCCCGTTTCTGCTTCTAATATGTCTCTGACCTTCAAGCCTGAAAAGGTACCCTACTAACCTATCTCGCCTATTTCTTATTGACTTCCATAGAGTAGTCCGTTCTCCTATTCTTTCTAATACCTCTTCATTTCTAACCTTTTCTAACACTACATCTCGAATGCTTCTAACTTTTTTCGCCGCGCCTACTGTCCATGTTTCGCACCCATACAGCGCCATGCTCCAAACATACACCTTTAACAACCTTTTTCGAATTTCTAAATTAACCGTTCGCGAGCATAGAAGTTACTTCTTTTTATTGAAGGCGACACGACCCTGCGCTATCCTCTTCTTTGTATCCTTACTACACCTTCCGTCCTGACTTATCTGACTTTTTTTAGAAAATAATTTACTACTTTAGAAATGTTATTTGTTGTTCCTAGTATCTTAGTAAACGGTCTACTCACAATTATTTCAGTTACTACTATTATAAAAATAACCTAATTTATATTTTCCCCAAATTAATACGAAATGTGCTTATTTTTTAAACAATTTCAAATTACCAACCCTAATTAAAGTTATTACAATAATACAGATGATTGTATGTAATTAACTATTTACTGCTTTGACTACCAATTTACGCCTTTTTTAATTTAAAGTGTTGAATTCATTTTATAATAAATATTGTACAGTAAAATTGAATGAGATATATTTTTACTTAACTAGACGACAAATGTTCTTTTTTCGGTTTATTGCTCCTAACTGATAAAAATGTTTTTATCTGTCTAATGGCAGTAATACCAATGATAGTCGCATCGCATTTCTTATCCAGTACAAAAATTTAAAAACCCTATAATTATAATAAGCATAAGGTAAAGATTGAGAAAAATCCACAAATAATATGGACCCATATCAGTGTCAAATAAATCACCCATTATGCATATATTTTTCTTTTTAATTTTTTTGGCACAGTGATTTGTAAAAAGTAGGTTACAATCTGGTTCATGTTTACAATTGGGTATGTGTTGTGATTATTTACATTTGAAGAATATTTTTGTGGATTTGGAACGTGTGCTTAATTATTACTGTGATGTCATTTTAATCACATAAAGCTTTCTCTCTCTAATTAAATTTAAGTACGCGAGAGTTGAATACTGAAGTATCCTATCATTCACATAAAAACAATTAAAATTATAAAAAGATTACTTACCTATTATAATGCATACTGTTACTATTAAACTTGCATATGTGTTGACAAAACTAGTTGTAAAAATTCCAATACAAATTAAACTACTTGCCACAAAGGCTAACTGCTGATAATTATACTTTTTTAGAACCGGAGCGCTCAAAAATCCTTAAACAGAAAACAATGGCAATTGTATTTTTTCTATTTTTCAAAACGATAAATAGAAATTAATGTATTCCTGTTTCAGGGAAGCATTGATATTTTTTGTCACTAAATGCATCAAATGCTTTCAGGCATCTAATCTTCTGTAAATTTTTTGAACTGATTATTGTCTGGAGCCCCAAAGTTTAAATACAGGCATAATTACCTTTACTTAATATCAAAATAAGAGACCTTAACTATATGAAATTATATGATAAAAGGAAACAATTTGGTAAATGTCTAGATGATGACCCCCACCCCCTTCGGGGGTGGGTGGGATCGAAAGGGGAGGTCTCCCCCACCTCTGTACCATACAAAGTTCGTGGCGGTCTCACCCCCATAAAAAGTTATGAGGATTAGATGGAAGTGGGGGAAGGGGGGATCGAAAGAGGTGGTCACCTGAGTAAAACCCCATAAAAAATTTGCGGCGGTCTCACCCCTATAAAAAGTTATAGGGGTTGAAAGTTGATTATTTTGACAATTCTCATACACTATAATTCAAATAAAATTCATAAAGAAAATATTTTCAAGCGGGTGGAGGTGGGGGATCGAAAGAGGGTGGTCACTTGAACAAAACCCGATAACCTAACCTAACCTACCCTATTGATAAAGATATTTAAATAATGTTTTATATAACTCTCAATATTTTTATGTATTGTTTAAGAATGACTATATAAATATTTACATGCCTAGAAATGTATAAAAATTGGCATATTTATTAACTTTGAACCCCTATAATTTTTTATGGGGGTGAGACCTCCACGAACTTTTTATGGTACAGTGGTGGGGGAGACCTCCTCTTTCGATTCCCCATCATCTAGACCTTTACCAACAATTCTTTACACAGAATGAAGGAGCACGAATGTTAAATTTCTTTTTCATAAGTTAAAAAGATGTATTCGGCACATTATTATACAATAATTATGTAGAAATTGACGGGCCCGCTGCAAATTATGCAGCCACTTTAATTCCATACGTTCGTATCCTAAAGCTCGATTTTCACTGTAAATTCCGTTTCCATTCTGTATCCATTCCGTAAACGTTCCGTATATTATTGTACAGACCTACAGAGAAACTGACTTTAAACATGTATGTCCACTTATGCAATTGTATATGTGCATACATTATCCTGTCTACATTCCATTTTAATTACATTTTTTTAATAGGCGGGAAGGCTGATAACCGACGGAAAGGTCAGTAGTGTGAATAGACAAACGTTTTATAAATTCCATCAGTTTATTTTTATTTCTTTTATAAAATCCAGTCCACAGTCAATCTAAAATTGACAGTTGCACTTTCACAACAGCCCATAGACAAAGTGCCTAACACATTATCTACCAACTCTTCTTTCCTTTAATATACTGCGAATCCAAATATCCAAAACTGCCTTCTCCGTGCTCTTTGCGCTTTCCTCTTCCATCCAAAGTGCGAACATTATCAAATTGTGTGAAATTTTTACGGAATTGATTTGGAATCGAAACGGGAATAAGTGAAATTCGACCTTAAATCATGCGCCTTAACAGTCAGTGAAAGCAAAGGGACGCAAAGACAAATTTACTGTAAATATATTTCGTTTTTCTGGACTTGCACTTGCAATTGAAAACTTATTATCCTACAGTACGTATTCTATGTATACGAATTATGAAAAATGTATGTACACAACGAATTTAGTACGTGCACCACGTACGATTGTTATTTTTGCAATTCAACGGCTATTGTATGATGACAATTTCCAAAAAATTTTCGTATTTTTTCTCAATGTAGGTCAAAATTTAAATTTATTACACAGTACTCTGGTACCTACCTAAACTACACATTATTGAGTTGTGCAGGTGTAGTAGAAAGGATATTTGTGCTGCCTTGATCTTCTGTATTGCGAACGTAGTTTCGAAAATCAAGGCAAAACATTGCAGCAGAGGTTGTACAGAAGACTAAAAAGATACCATTTAGTATGATGATTTGAATATTAATTAACACATTCAAGGATTACTCACATTTATTAAAGTACAAGCAGCAAGTATAATCCACCCGTAGCCACCGTCCAAATGAACAAACCCCTCAGTAGCCATGATCTCAATAAAAACTTTCTTAATATATTTTACATAGTGTTTATCGTGGCAAATCTTAATTTTGAAGTTTTTTGTTACACATTTAAATTTCGTTATCACTGTCTCATACTTTGAGTACACATATGTTATCTGTTACTACGGGTTTTATTTTGTTTTTTTTTTAATTATTATCTATATCAAAAATCATACATGTAACAATGGTTAAGTACAAATAAGGAAGATAAAAAGATGTATTTCATATTCGAATGCCACTTTGTATATTCACAAGTTGTTTGCGGTCTGTTGACAACTGAACAGCGGAATTCCTGATCATTACTTTAGGTGATAAGCAAAGAAGATATGCTATTTGATTAGGCACCGTTTTTATCACGTATTGTTTTAATGAGGTAGCAGTTGTTTTCAAAACTATTATTTTCAATTATTTCGTATAATGCTGAGCGCGCCGAATTAAATATAGAACAGCATGTTAATGAACCAATCACGCGCACGTTAACAATTGAAAACAAACAACTGAAAAGTAGTTTTGAGATAGAGACGAAGAAGCACCATAAACATAAACAGTCCACTCGTTCCGCAGATTATTTAAAGCACGTATGCATGCATGCATGTAGATGTTAGATAAAAAATTCGTATTTATACGTATACGTATAACGAGCGCGCGCATGTAAATGCCTACATGCTAAGTAACAATGGTGGGAGCTAAATATACAAGTTTTGATGCGGTGGGGAGTCATTATTTACTTAACAAAATGATATTGCATAAAAACACCATTAATAACAGTGGGTATGTGTTACTTACGAAGATAGACAACCTTTTCTACGTGTACTTTAATCTAATTATGCGATAAGCAAAAAATGAATTTCATGTTTCTATGTATGTAGGAACACATTTTATACTAGTCCCATCACAATACAAAAAAAAAAGGTTGGTACTAGAATTTGTTATTTTACAAAGTTTACTGTATAAATTTAGGGAAATAATAACAACAATAATATGTAGATAATAATTGACGAAACATGTTTAGTATAGAAAACAAAAACCGGTAAAGGTCTAGATGGGGGTAGGGTTGGGGGGGTGATCGAAGGAGGAGGTCTCTCACCCCACTGTAACATAAAAAGTTCGTGGCGGTCTCACCCCCATAAAAAGTTATAGGGGTTCAAAGTTAATAAATATGCCAATTTTTATACATTTCTAGGCATGTAAATATTTATATAGTCATTCTTAAACAATATTCAAAGGTAAAACTAATGGAAAAATACATAAAAATATTGAGAAAGTTATATAAAACATTATTTAAATATC